AACGTGAATATACTGATGTCCAGTTGTGTACCAGGGACTCATTTTGGAACTTCACCCATGCTCGACATGAATGTCAAAAGATCTGTAAATGCAAACAGTGTACCATAGGCAGGCAAGACCTTTGTTTTTCGCTGTTTTAATTTCCAAATGCACATGCAAAAGACATCAGCACAACACAACAGAGGATCACAACAGGCATGGAAAGGTGAGATTCTTCTTTTCAGCAGGCATGACATCTGGAGAGCACTGATGGCCCTGTGCTTGCTTCACAGACATCCTTTTCAAAACTCACTGTACCCAAACCTAGTGCAAATATTTCTGGAGGAAGCTACAGCTGTATAAACATACACAGAGGGCACGATTCATCTGGCTGTTCCATGCACGCCACAATAGTTTCATGCTTTCAGTTCTGTGGGAAGGATGTCTTTCTGGTATGTGTACAGTAGTGCTTTCGTGTCAAGTGTTAACTCCTAGTAACTGCCTGGAGAGGCCCCTGCAATTTTCTTGGCAAAGTTTTCTGGAGGTGATTTGCCCTTGCCTCCTTCCTAGGATTAAGGGACTGGTCCAAGATCTCCTAGCTAACTACATGCCCAAGGGCAGGACTTGACCTCAACATCCCAGTTGCTGGCCTGTTGCCTTCACCACTGAGCTGATAACAGCCTTTTAACTTTACTAAGCGTTGTAATCCTGTATTTGTGTAAGGGAGCTTGTCCCGTTTCAACCAGTTCTAGCAGGATGCAAATCACTTGGATCCTCAGCCAGAAATACAGGTACTCCTTGACTTACAACTGTTCATTTAGTGACCGTTCAAAGTTACAAAGGCACTGTTGTAAAAAGTGACTTACGGCCATCTTTCACACATGGCAACCGTTGCGGTCTCCCCATGGTCATGTGATCAAAATTCAGATGCTTGGCAACTGACTCATATTTATGACCATTGCAGGGTCACACAGTCCCCTTTCAAGACCTTCGGACAAACAAAAGTCAAATGGGGGAGCCAGATTCCCTTCACAATTGCATTACTATCTTAACAAGTGCTGTGATTCACTTAACAAGTGTGGCAAGAAAAGCCATAAAATGGGGCAAAAGTCACTTAACAAATGCCTTGCCGAACCACAGAAATTTTGGGCTCAATTGTGGTCATAAGTCAAGGACTACTGGTAGTGGCCTGTGTAATGTGGGGCGGGGATGCTGCCAAGCAGTCAGTCCTGTGTAGGTCTCTTGCAGCAGCTTGTTGCAGCCAAACCTCTGAAGATACAGTTCTAAGCTTCACACGTTACAAAACAGTGCGTGAACCAAAAGAAAAAGGGAAGGGGCTTAAATCCTACCCTGAGGAGTATCTTTGATTTAAAAAAAAAAAACCCAGACAGGATAGATTGACACGGGACACCATTATGTTGGTACCCTTCTTATAATCAACTCAGTTATTCTGAGCTCTTAAAAAGGAGTTTGCAGTTTCAAGCAGAAATTCTCTCTGCCCAGTAGCAATATGGCTGTCTCACATGTAATACAGGTAATCTCCAATTTACATATAACAGCTTGTTTAGTGACTGAAGTTACAACGGCACTTGAAAAAGTGACATGACTATTTTTCACACTTATGACTCTTGTCCCATCCCCATGGCCATGTGATTTACATTCAGATGCTTGACAACAGGTTCATATTTATGACGGCTGCAGGGTTACATGATCCCTTTTATGACCTTCTGACAAGCAAAGTCAACAGGGAAGCTAGATTCGCTTAACAACCCCGTTACTAACTTAACAACTGCAGTGATTCGCTTAACAAATGTGACCAAAAAAGATGTAAAATGAGGCAAAACCCACTTAACAAATCTCTCACTTAGCAACATAATTTCTAGAGTCAGTTGTGGTCGTAAGTCGAGGACTACCTGCATCCTGTATTTGCCAGGCACAGCCCCAGGACAGCTTTGGGATTTTAAAGGAATAAGGACTGAGGCCCTATATAGGTGCGATTTCATATAGAAAAATAATTTTTTAAAAAAGTGTGAAGGACAGATAATTGGAAGTCCTGGGTTAAGGGCAAAATGATAGCTAAATTAGGGCTTTCTGTGATTTAAGTGTGCCATTTTAATCCAAAGACAGGCTCTGTGCTTACAGAAAGTTACACTATGGGCTTTTATTTTTTATAATACAGATGCTATTGCGTAGTGACTGCCCTGTGTAGTGGCCGTTTGAGGTTATGATGGTGCCAAAAGAGTAATTTTACAATTGGCCCTTGCACTTAAAGACAGTCACAGTTTCCCTATAGCAGGGGTGTCAAACTCAAGGCCTGGGGGCCGGATCCAGCCCACGGGGTGCTTAGATCTGGCCCACGGGGCTGCCCTGGGAACAGCAGACCAGCCCACAGTGCCTCTGCCAGTGAAAATGGAGCTCAGGAGGGCTGCATGTGGCCGTCCTGAGCTCCATCTTCATTGGCAAAGGGTTGCAGGAGGCTGTCACAGCCAAAATGGAGCTCTGGAGCCCGTTTTCGCTGGCAGAGCGCTTGAGCCACCACAGGCGTCCCCGACACGAGTGACATCGAGCTGGCCATACCCACCGGGGCCACGCCCACCATGGCCCTCCAAGGTCAAACACAACCCTGATGTGGCCCTCAGTGAAATCGAGTTTGACATCCCTACACTATAGTCACATGATTGAGATTAGGATGCTCATACCTGGCAGGTATTTACAACTGTTGCAGTGTCTCATGGTCATGTGATCGCCATTTGCACAGTTCATGGAAGGCTCCCAACAAGCAGGGTCAATGGAGACACCTGCAGTGGAATCATCAATTGCGGTCACATGTCTATGGAGATTCTCAGTCATCCAGGTCATGGTTGTCCCAAAGGTGCTTTTTTCAAGAGGCAACTGGACTTTCTTGTTTTTCTTCAAAGACGTTTCGCTCCTTGGATGAGAAGCAAAACATCTTCAAAGAAAAACCAGATAGTCCAGTTGCCTCTTGAAAAAGCACCTTTGGGATTGCAGTCACATGATGTCTCACTTAACAACCACATCACTTAGTGGTGGAATTGCCTGACCCATTTATCATTAAGTGTGGATTACCTGTACCCTTCCTTCTCTCGGCTGTAACTGTCCCTGTGTACATAGCAGATGCTGGCACGTACTGAATGACTACGAAGGTACAACAGTCATTTTGCTTTGTTCTTAGCTGTCCAGTAAGATCAACTACAGTAGAAAAAATAGTGAACAATTGTGACTTGGGCCAGTGCCCTGTTAAATATTTTAAGACAGGGATAAACAGTGCGATGCCTTCCGGACAGTTTTTCATTGTAATGTCTGCAGCCTCTTATTGGTTGAAAGTGACTTGAGTTAAAAGTTCAAAACAGGGCAGAGGATATGCAATAAAAAGAGCTCTTTACAACAAATTTGTACAGCAGTCTTCCCCACCCCAGCTCTTCATATATAATTATATCCTTAGGATCTTTTGAATGAGCTGCTGGATAACATTGTTAAGTGCGCCATTGATTTTTAAGCTGGCCACCATTGAACTTGGTGGCCAACCTAAAAGACAGAAGTCTGCTTTTTAGAAAACCATTTCAGCCAGATCCATTTGCTGTATATCAGATTACCTCCCGGTGTATTACAGAGCTTTATGTTATCCTGCCATGTGGTAACTCATCAGCAATAAAAATACTTCCATCCTCTTCATAGATTTGCAGAATGTAAAAGTGGCTCAGAGGTCCAGGAGAAAAGCGTATCCTTTTGGAGGTCCCTTATTGGTATGATGATCCAGAATTGCATGCTACAGTGGCAAAAAGAAAGCATTTCTGTGATGTGTGCTGAGCTGCTTTGACCAATGAAAGGGTATCACTGAGGCTAACTTGCATGAAGTCTTCAGCTAGGGTCAGATGGGCAGTGGAAAGTATCCGTGGCTGAGAAGCAACCAAGAGATCTGGAAGTTTCAGTCATATTCATAGGAAGAACGTCCTTAGCATCAGCCTAAGGAGCCCATTCTGGGTGCCAGGTTGTAAAATTCTTTCGGATCAAGGAGACACAGCATTGGCTGGGGAGTCTTAGCACCACAGCAAAACTGAAGAAGAAAAATGGGTGTGGAGGTATAGTTTTCAGTGTTGCAGAAAGTATATCAAAGTGATGAATGAGAAAAGGCAACAGTCCAATACTTGCTCAGGGATGAACCGTTGCTGAATTGTAGCAAGAGAGATTTATCCTAAAATATTCAAGGGCAGATTGGGCAGAAACCTATGTAGTGCACATTGAGTACCATAGTTTTCCATCTATCTCAGGAAGGGAAATCTATGGCCTTCCAGATGTTCTTAAACATTATCATGTTCATCATAGCAAATCACTGACCATGGGGTTTTTTTTTTGTTTGTTTGTTTTTGTTTTGGAGCCGATTAGAGTCAAACGACATCCATAGTTCCCCATGTTATCTGCCCTTAATCTAGACCATTTCTCAGTGATCCATAGAACTTGGAGGAGGTATGATACATAACAGCGATAAACTGTTTCATTTTCCAAGAAGAACCCTCTTAATTTGCAGTTCTGTGAGGAGGTGGGATTTTGAGCTCAGAACTTCACTTTCGTTAAAGAATTAGAAATCCCAGAATTTTTATGGGTTGACAAGCTCAACAGTTAATATGACCTAATCAACATTTTTAATGTCAAAGTACTCTTATGGTATACTTAATTTAAGGGATTTGTTTTCTTCGTGGCTAATCTGTACATTAGCACATTCCAGAGAAGGGAATTTTCCATGTCAATAAAAGTTGAGAAAAAGCACCCCCAAAGCATGGAAACCTTACCGTGAGCTAGACCTCCTGCTTTTGTGCTTGGTGTATCAACTAGGTATAATGCCCTGCAGTTTAAACACAAAGAACACGATGCTAGACGTACAGCTACACAATATGAAACTGCCCATTGAGAGGACATTGGGTGAGGGGCATGGGAAAGGCAGTGTAGCAAGGTCCACCCTGGTTCAATTCTCAGTGCCCAGGAATAATCACGCACAGGCCTGACAGCCTCACATGCCTTATTAGTGTTACAGGGTCCAAAGAGTTCTGCCCAATGGATTGGTCTTGCCCCTCCATGCCATTTTACCCCCTTCTACACCCAGAGCGGCTCATATCAGGTGGAAGAACCAAGGGTCAGGAGGTGAAATAGGAGTTTTGCATGGAGTACAGCCTGTCGATAGGGTTGCCCACTCGAGTTTGCAGCAGGTTGGCCTCAGCCGCAGACAGCAGGCAGTCGCCCAAATGGCCAATCGTGTCGCTGTCCATGTCATGGAAAACACCTTCCGAATCTAAATGGAAAAGGAAAGGAGACATTGCTTGGGAAGATGAAAGTTCTCAAGCTAGAGGAAATCAAACCCCCTCTCTGGGAGAGAAACATGATTGGTCAGAAAATACAACCACGCCCAGATTCTTGTAGCTCTTCAATTAGTATGGCATCATGGAATCTTCTGGTCTGTAATTCTTTGCTCCAATTTAGTGATGGCTCAAGGAAAGGAAAGGAACCAGCTCCCTACTTTCACTAAGAAAGTTGGTAGCTGCTACTATATCACGTTGTTGATGTAGCTCGCTCCATACAGGTGGACTAATCAGAGCAAAAGATTGCTTAGGGCAGCCATAGCCTCTTCCCTCTGCTCCTTTTCTTCTCATTTTCAAGGCCAATGCAAAAGCACCATTTTCAATATCAGGTAAATGCATGCACACCATCATGTATGATATATGCATTACAATTCACTGCACAATAGATGTTCATAGATAGCCTTTGAAGGGAGGGGAAGAAAAAAAAGAAACAGCCAATGGGACTGATGGGGGAAAAAATAGAAACAGCCAATGGGACTGATGTCTGCCTTTCTGTTGTGGGGAGACATATTCAACCACATTAAAACAGTGCTGGCAAGAAATAAAAGCATGTTGCAGGTATATCAGAACAAGGTGATACAGAGGTTGGGAGGGAGTAACTGAAGGGATTTGAGGAAGATGAGCTCACCGTATGGATGAAGATGATCTCCTGGCAACTGGGGTGGGGTGAGTCCTTGCCGGTACAAGTCTGTGCTGTAGCTGTTCTGATCCAAGGGAAGCAGCTGCTGCTGGGCAATCCTGGAGTAGGGTACCATGAGCCCATCTATTCCATGCACACTGGCACTATCTATTGAGCAATTGCCGAAGCAATAGGAAAGAAGGTGCAAAACATCACTAGGAGATGTTAACAACAATAACACTTTTTATAGAGAACAATGAACTATGATTGAAGCTACTTTCTCCAAGATCAGATGAGACTTATTGGGTAGATGTGCAAGTCTTATCACAGCAAGGAGATGGTGGACTAGAACTTTTCTCTTTGATTTTCAGATAGTTCTTGACTTATGAATCATTCATTTAGTGACCATTCAAAGGTACAATGGCACTGAAAAAAAAGTGAAAAAAGGTCTTTGCACTTACAACCAACACAGCATCCTCATAATCACGTGATCAAAATTTGGGCACTTGGCAACCGGCATGTATCTCTGATGGTTTCAGGGTCACAGAGTCATGTGATCACCAGATGGCTTCCAATAAGCATAATGCTAGTTCCCGTACCCCACCTTTTCCGGATATTTTGTATATCCCCAAAATGAAATGTTAGCATGTCATTCTTTATCTGTGTGTGTAAATTAGATTAAAATAATTCTTCTGGGGCCTAAAATCTATCTTATCCAATTTTAGTCCTCGGATATCTTCCCTGCCTTCAACAGGCAGAATTTTAACAGGTGACAAACTCTCAGGGGAAAAAAATTATCCAAAATATATGTAACCCTTCAGAAAAAGATACAGGTAGTCTTCGACTTACAACAGTTCATTTAGTGACCATTCAAAGTTAAAATGGCACTGAAGAAAATGACTTATGACCATTTTTCACACTTATGACCATTGCAGCATAGTCATGTGATTTAACATTTGGATACAACTGGTTCATATTTATGTCGGTTGCACTCTCCCGGGGTCATGTGATCACCTTTTGTGAACTTCTGACAAGCAAAGTCAACGGGGAAGCCAGATTCACTTAACAACCATGTTACTAATTTAACAACTTCAGTGATTCACTTAACAAACACGACGTGAAAAGTCGTAAAAAGGGGGTAAAGCTCACTTAACAAATTTCTTACTTAGCAATATAAATTCTGTGCTTAATTCAGATATACTAGATACCTTGATCACAAATAGAATTGTGCAAAGGTTGTCTCACAGCTACATGCTTGAGTAGTTAAATAGTTGACACAGCTGTTCTGGTGAACTTGTTTTATTTTTCTCAGACAGACTGTGTGAAATTAGGGGTGAGAGCAGGGGCATTTTTCTAAGTAGACATTGGAAGCTGGGGCTTTGTACATGTACATCTGAATACTAAGTGGGGCTGAAGCCCGGTAGATGCCAAAGGAAGCTTTGCAGGAATACCTGGGCTCTAGAACATCACATGCGATGGGCTGATTGGGACCATCTCTCTTTGGGATTTCTCTCTTCTCCAAATAATGTGATGAAATTTGCATTTAAAACCCCTTCTTGGCGGCTTATAAAATGTTTATTTTAGGAGCAAATGTGTTAGCCTTTCCAAATAGCCCATACAAGAAGCATGACCTGGAGCCATCAGCACTGTCTTTATTGTAAGGTGATACATTAAACAGAATCTTGCAAAACTGAAGGCATTTCTCCACTCCTCTCTTTATACTCTCCAGAAAACTAGGAGAAAGTTTTCTTCTGAAATGCTTCCCGTGTTTCCCCCCCCCCCGCCATTGGATTGAGCTGGCTTTTATCGGACCCGTGTTTAAAGTGCAGGTCTGCCTCCCACCTCCCATCACAAAGTATGTTTTAAAATGCAGGCGTTTTTTAAAAATAAATAAAATTCATTGAAAAAGGCCTACTTGAAACAGATGAATTACAAAACTGAGATGGTCCCAGTTTCTAAATGAACACATGACAAGCCAGCATGGACCAGAAGAGGACCAACCTATCTCTAGGACGTCTGCTATTCTTGAGATGTTCTTACCTTCGCTGTCCTCATTGCTCTGTCTGCTGCTGCGTCCATTTCCCCTCCCCGTCCCTAGACGGGGATTTCCCAACTGCTCTTGTTCCTGTTGCTGCTGCTGCTGTTGTTGCTGCTGCCGGCGGGCTATCTTTTTCATCTGCAAAGAGGTGTTTGGATGCATCTGGGTGGGTGTACAACAAAGGGGGGAAGGAAGGAAGGACAGAATGTCCTCCGAAATTGGAAAAAGGGGGACTTTGGGAGACAAAGGGAGACTAATTGGGGGGGGGGGGAGGGGGGACTTTGACCTGCCCCTACTTTATAGATCCATTACCTCCCAGGACTTTTAGAATCAGAGGATTGGAAAGGGTCTTGGAGAACCTTTAGCCCAGGAAAGAGATCCTCACATCATCCAGATCAGGGGTCTCCAACCTTGGCAACTTTAAGACTTGTGGACTTCAACTTTGCTGGCTGAGGAACTCTGGGAGTTGAAGTCCACAAGTCTTAAAGTTGCCAAGGTTGGAGACCCCTGATCCAAATGATCCAGGCTAAGTGTTGCCTGAAAACCTTCAGGGATGAGACCCCCTGTCAGTCCAGGAGGTTGGCAGTTCTGTCGCTTAATAGCTCTCATGACCAGGAAATCTTTTCTGATTACCGTCACCAAACACCATCACTCTTTTTAAGGGCTACCTGATCAGCCAAAGAGTGCCCTGACATGCTGCTGTGCACAACAAATCAAACTGCGGAAACTGGCAAGTGTTTTAGTGGTCTGTTATTTTCATTTTGTGAGATGCCGCGAGTGCCGTTGCTGAAGAACAGCTAAAAATGCCTTCAATATCAATGAAAGTTTTTTTTAAAAAAATGTCTTTACAACAGGAAATAAAATGTTATCCCTTAGTGATTCCTCCCCAGATGAAATTGCTGTTAAACAAATAGGGTTGTAGGGTTGTTTATAAAGTTGGTACCCACAACCATAAATTCTGATTTTGTACTTGGCTAAACAAGCCCCCCCCCCAAACTCTCATCAACAGTCGTGTTTGTTTTGGGATTTGTGCTGCTGAAGAATGTCTAGGTTTAGGAAATGAGTTAGCTCAAAGTTAGGGTAAGCAGAAGTTTGTCTCCCCTTGTTTGGCTGGAGATAAAACTGTCATTCAATTGCAAAACTCAGAAATGATCACTCACCTTGGCTCTTTGGTTCTGGAACCAGACTTGGACTACACGGACAGTCAAACCAGTTTCAGCTGCTAATGTCTCCCTCACCTGCCCATCATGGAAAACAGAAAAGGAGTTGTTAAAAAGCTAAATTCATGTCACAATCAGAAAGCCCCCTGCACAAAGGGTGACTTTGGGTGGGTTGTGCTCTGTGACCCCTCACTTACGGGGTGATGCAGGGTTCAATTCACTCTCTTCTTTTGCTTACCATCTGCATGAAACTGCTGGATGAGGTCATCCATCGTTTTAAAGTCATGATAGCCAATGATACATTTCAACCCTGTGCTGACCAAGTGATGCTGTTTAAAGTCCTGAGCCAATGCCTGGGAGCTATGCAGACTTGAATGGGGAAGTACAGGCTTGGGCTCAATCCCAACAAGACTAAGTTGCTTGGTTTTTTTGACCCCTCTGGCTCCAGGGATTCCCCCATCTTTAGTCTTTAATGGGATCACGATTCTCCATGCGAGACTGGTGCGTACTCTGGCACCTGTCTTGAACTGCTGGTGACAGCTGTAACCAAGAGGGCCTTTAAATAGGTTCACCTTATGTGCCAGGTGCACCCATTCCCAGATTGAGATGGTCTTCAGAAGCCACTCATATAAACACATTACAGTAATCCAATTAAAGGTAAAGGTAAAGGTTCCCCTCGTACATATGTGCTAGTCATTCCCGACTCTAGGGGTGGTGTTCATCTCCGTTTCAAAGCTGAAGAGCCAGCGCTGTCTGTCTCCGTGGTCATGTGGCCAGTATGACTAAACGCCAAAGGCACACTGAACGCTGTTACCTTCCCACCAAAGGTGGTCCCTATTTTTCTACTTGCATTTTTTACGTGCTTTTGAACTGCTAGGTTGGCAGAAGCTGGGACAAGTAACGGAAGCTCACCCCATTACGTGGCACTAGGGATTTGAACTGCTGAACTGCTGACCTTTCGATCGACAAGCTCAGCGTCTTAGCCACTGAGCTACCACATCCCTATAGTAATCCAATTAAGAGGTGACAAATTGTAATGTGTTTTCATTGAGATGCCTTGGAAGACCAACAAGATGTTACAGTTGATTCAGAAGGCAGCTGTATGTATATGTTCTTACTGCTTTTCAAGCACCCCTGGTTGCCAATTGGCTTCTGAGTACAATTCAAGGTGCTGATTACAACTTCTAAAGCCCTGCATGGCATACGGTCTGGTTACTTGAAGGACCATCTGCTTCTGTATGTTTTTACTGTATCTATCCAGCCAGATCAGCAAGAGTTGGTATACTCCATGCCTTGTTGATTAAGCTGTGACATTTTATAGGGGTTAGGAAGTGGCCTTCTTGGTGATGGCTCCTATTCTGTGAAATGATATCTCCAGAGAGTCAAACTTGCTTCTTCTCTTCTGATTTTCTGCAAATTGCTTGGGACTTGGTTGTTACCCCAAGCCTTGCCCTAGAATGGGGGTCAAGCCCCTTTTTGTGATCATTAGCTGCTTGGCTTTGCGGAATTTGGGATTCCTGGACATCCATCTTCTTTTCCTCTTGATAAATTTTGATCTCTTTTAATTTTTTATTTGAGCCACCAATCGGGTGGCCTCAACATTGAAATAATAAATAAAATAAATGTGGCATCTTTCAATGTATTATCAGAGATCTAGAAAATATGTGGGCGCAGCAGGGTTTCTTCCAAGGGAAGAGAGACCCAGAGCTTAGGTGATATTTAAGATAGGAGCAGGCAAGGGTTGGGGTTTTTTTGTATCCGGCAGCTAAAATACTAGCATCTGAATGTGATAAAGGAGACATTGGACTATCCCATAACATTACTAGAGATGGAGGAAGTAAAACTCATCATCCTTTTTTGGCAGTTGGTCATTGGGTTAAGTAAAATAGATGCTTAAGATAAGTGGAGGAAAGGAAAACAGAATGTGGTGTCTGATTGGGGTATGCAGGGGAGGTATGGGAAGACGGATGAAGTGGTAGATTGCTTGCATTCTAGTAAAGCAAGTAAAGGGTAAAGGTTGAACTGGCCACTCTCTTAAAATAGGCAGGAACGGAAAGAATTTAGGAAGGGAGCAATAGGTCAACATGATTTTTTTTAAAAAAAAAAAGAGGGAAAGAAATTGAAAGGAGATAACCAGCAATAGCACTTAGACTTATATACCACTTTGCAGTGTTTTACAACCCTCTAAGTGGTTTACAGTCAGCCTATTGCCCCCAACAATCTGGGTCCTCATTTTACCGATCTCGGAAGGATGGAAAGCTGAGTCAACCTTGAGCCAGTCAGAATCGAACTGTTGGCAGCCAGCAGTCAGCAGAAGTAGCCTGCAGTACTGCATTCTATCTAATCACTGCACCACCATGGCTCTTAAAACAGAAACAGTGGTGAATCTGAGGAGGCATTCTTGATGTCCTCTTTGAGAAGAAACATATTATGGAGGAAAATCTTTTTTCTTTTGAGAACCATGTTCCCTTGGGTGTAACTGTGTTACGGATTGAATGGTGGGTGAGTGGGGTTGATTCAAGAGTAGGTGAGACCAGAGACTAGGACAATCATACCTGGGCCAGGAGACCACTGGATGGCAACAACATATTAATATTTTCTGCATCTTTTTATTAACATTTAGTGGTCATCTGCACTTTGTGACTAAAGCCTAAAGTATGTGAGAATTACTTTCCTTGACATCCTGTTTTTTTCTTTCCCCCAAGCAAATAGGCTACAGAAAAGGTTCTGCTAGCTATTGTTAAAAACCGTGGCTTCAAAATTAGAGCGCTTATGTTCTTAGGACCGCAGGTCACCCATCCCTCCACTCTGTGTTGGGGTAGCATCACTTTAAAGAAAGAAAGAAACTCAACCTTTCGGCAGGGCTTTGAGGAGACTTCAAAGGAGGCCTTGAATGCCCGTCGCTGCTGCGTGGTAAGGATGGTGCGTGGGCGTTTGGAGCGCTTGTGGTCCTTGCCTTCCTCGCCTCCTTTGCCATGTGGGTGGCTCCCATCCTCATCTTCACTCTTCACTATGAAAGAAAACATGGATTATGAAGGATTCCCTGCCTTATTTCCCTAAAAACATAAGACACCCAAGGATGGTTTAGCCATCCTTTCATTCACCAAACAACTTGCCTTTTCTGAATGGATGTTACCAAACAACATTTCTCAAAGCAGATTCTGTTAGGGACAATATACAATAGACTCTAACCCTAACCCTGTGGTCTTGCCACAAAATGGATAGTCTTGAATGTAGAAATTGAGAGAATGACTTTCCCTGATTGAAATTTTTTAAAATGTAAAAAGATGCCAGGGACAAAAGCTTCATTAGCCGCACATCTGTGCATCCGAGCATCAGGACCTGGCATGGTTTGGCATGCATCCCAAAAGAGGCTAAGGGTCAATTTTGGGATCTGCTGTTGCTGCTGCTTTTCTTCCTTCTTCCTGTCTTTGCTGCTATAAACATGTGAACAAGTGGCAAAAGTCATGAGAGTGGAATGCACCTTTAACTTACTTTGCTTTAATACTTACATAAATTAGACCTAAAAAGACAAGGAGGAGATGGGCCTATTCCAGAAACAGATGCCAGAAACATGGAAAATGACTTGGCCAAACACTCCAAACCCCCCACCCCATTGTTAAAGGAATAAAGACAAAGCCAGGAAAGGAGCTAAACATTCTTCACATGCATTCCACTTCTCTTGCAACTTCTTCCACATGAGAATGGAAGAACAGAAACGCCTCTCATATGGAAATGAAGATTTGTATGTTTGCTATTAATGTGTATGCCTAAAGGATTTTTAACATGCATGCTTCATGTTGTTCAAATCCAGTTAGTTACTAAGATGCACAGTTTATAATTAGATGGGGTTTTTTAGCAAGCCCTCACATGTGGATCCCATATGTGCTCCTTCCCACCTCCCCCAGACCATTATAGCCACTTTCTCTTCTCTTCTCTAATTGGGATTTTGTATTACAGGAAAGCAGAGCCGGTTCACTGATTCTAGGCATTTTCCCTAACCAAAAATGAGAAATTGGCGTGGGTCAAAAACGGGCCCTCTGAAAAGATGTAGGTTTTAGCAGGTGCCCAACCACAATAACTCTGATGCTTGGCTCAGATCCAGATGTTCTAAAGCATGATGGTCCTTAGATAGTTTGGCTCTTAACATCCCCAGAATATAGATGATGACCGTAATATCCAGGGCAACTGGAGAAAGATGTATGGGGAAAGGAGATACAGACCTGTCCTTCTCATAACTGTGTAGCAACTTTGACATGTGCAGCCTTTTTCACTCTTACAGCTTTCCAGCATATCCTACTGCTCTTTTCATCCCTGGAGGGCATAGGACAGCAATGGCTAACCTTTTTGCCATCGCGTGCCAAAAAGCATGGGGAGCGTGGGTGGGGGTCACACATGCGTGTGCCCACATCCATAATGCAATACCCCCTGCATACCCCGCCCCCGTGCATGTGCGCATGACCCCCCACACACTCCCCCTGTGCATGTGCGTGTGACTCCCTGTTTTGCCACACAGGGGCGCACCGCTCCCCCCATGCTCCCCACCCCCGTGCATGTGCATGAGACCCCCTCCCACCCTCATACATGTGCAGAAGACCCCTGCGCATGCGTGTGCATCTCCTGCATGTGCGCTGCCCCTGTGCCAGAGAACCAAAAATCAGCTGACCGGTGGGAGGTGCGCACGCATGCGCAGTGGAGCTGAGATGGGCGACGGCTCACGTGCCTGCAGAGAGGGCTCTGCATGCCACCTGTGGCACACATGCCATAGGTTCGCCATATGGGTATAGGAATTTTATCCAGCTATATTTTAATCAGCCCTTTTAGCATTAACTAGGGAGATAGAATTCAAGGAAAGAAGGTGGAATTCTTCAGTCTGGGCATAACAGTAGGAATTTGGATACAGTGAATCTTAACATTTGGCTTCTTTGGAAGTGGAACTCCTGAATCAATGGGGATTTTCTCCTGCAACACTGTGTATTCAGGATTGTGCAAGTTTTTTGATTGGAAATAAGAAACCAGCTAACAGGATTGGATATTCATTTGTCCACAGAGGGTTTAGTGGCCTTAGATGCCTGGGAGCTGGTTATGGGATGCAGGGTGATGAAAAGGGTCTCTCTGCGCATGTTGAGGGTCATTCTTTTAACTCTACTGAGCAGAACCCTGTGGTCCCTCCTCTCACCTGACTCAGTGGGTGCAGGGCTGATGGCGCTTAGCATTTCTCTCTCCTTCTCATAGTCGCTGCGGCAAAGCAGCTGCCCTTCCTTCAGCACAAACTCATCTCCGCGCTGCAACCGCCGCTCACACTCACAGCAGGAGAAGCAGTGGACGTGGTAGACGTTCTCCAGCACCCGCATGATGAATTCAGAAGGAGCCACAGCTTTGAGGCAGCCGCTGCATTTGGTCTGGAAGAGCCTGACCGAAAAGAGGAGTGGGGGGGAGAAGAGAGAATTGGGGCAAAGCAATAAAGACGATAAGGCATGAAGCTGATGAAGCAACCTAAGTTGCTACAGTACATTGCGTTCCCTTCTGCAGACTTTTAGATTTCTAGTTTGCATGCTTATATTGTATTGATACATCAGCTGCATTAAAGTTAAAGCTCTTTTTTTTTTTCCAATTTACACAAGCTTTCCCATCTGATTGTCAATGGGCCCTACTACACAAACAGACAACCTACAGCCCATAGGAAACACACAATCTCCCATCTGGTGGCAAAATCTTGAAATACTGTATTGTGTCACAACTTCAGTGCAATTGCATGTTCTACTTTAACTCTGGGATTGAGAGGGGATTCTCTCTTGTGCTCCATGGCTCAGTTCAATTCATTCGACCGTTAAGCTCAGTCAGTTCATTCCACTATTCAGCTATATTAATTTGGCAAAACTTCTACAACCTCAGTTAGTTTAAAAACACCTAGATTGTACTGTAACATAAAAAGTACAAGGATTATTGTTAGTAGGTATGTAAAATATTGAGGCAGCTTATGCCTAAGAAAGGAGATGTAATATCTCAGCCTGAAGTCAGTTAACGGGGAAAATTTAGAAGTGAGAACAATTTTAAGGAACCATCCCTCAAATGTACTGTAATTCCTTCACTTTTAAAAATTGAACACATGTCCAGCTAGGTGGCAGCATCTAGTCTACTATAGCTGATCTTGAAAAGCATAGGAAGATTGGACCAGGTTACTAGAGCTTGGATGAGAGACCACTAAGAAGCAAAAGGGCTGAAGGCTACAATGGGAAGATGAAGAAAGCAATAGAAATCACCTCCTACCCTATCATCCTGAAAGGTTCCTGGAACATTTTCTTGCAATCACTTATAGTTGAGGAGCTCTGTAAAATTATTTAAAATTTGTTCCTTTCTTTTGCAGCCAGAAAAGAATAAATTTACGTTTGAACTAGAAACAACAGTAACAGCAACAACAAATGATGTTGAAACTTGCCGTTTGAATAACCAAGACTTAGTTTTACTAAACTAAAATGGGTTTAAACCATTGTGGCAATTAATTGAAGAAACACTGCATTGTTATTCAGCAGCTTTGGATCAGATGGGATGTGGATATATTTTTTTTTATAAAAAAAAGTGAAATCAAAGCAATGTTGAATAGAAAGAAGTATGGTATGCCTCGTTGAAAAAAAAATTAAAACAGAGAAAACCCATAATTGATAAAATGTGCTTTTCCAAAGTATTTTTCCGATTGTATTTTATTTCTTCTTCCTGCAAATTTAAAGACTTTAACACCCCCCCCCACCCAGTTTTGGCATCGGAGAATTCCTGAAAAACCTGCCTGTTTCTCTAATTCCAAACGGTTTGTAAACCGATTCTGTCCATAACTCCACCTGTCAGTTTGAGAGGCATTCCTTCCCTGTCATAAATAACAAAACAGCACTACCCTGGATCCATGACCCTAAAATTTTCTTTTAATGTCTTCGCCTCCTGGCATAGCGAGGCATTTGAATAGACAAATCAATAACTCCAGCCAAGACGTTTGCAGCAGATGGTTCTGATGAAGTAATTTGGGAGCTAAGCAAACGCGAGTGGGGCGGCTCACCGAGCTGACAGCTTCTCTTTAGCCACTTGACAAGAGAAAGTAATAAAATGAGGATTAATTAGCCTGTTGTTTAAACACACAGGATCCTCCCAGCCAGCGGGGAAACTCATAAACCGGGATTGAGAACAAGACGTGGGTTAATCCTCCTAGCAAACTCTTGCTGAGCGCGGAATGGGGAGGATTTACCAGGGAGGGCTCATCCCTGCCTAATGCTCTCCGCTTGGATTTATACTTCTGCTTGAATAGGCTGGGGCTGTTCCGACGGCCAGAGAAAGAGAGAGAGAGAGACGAGACAAGATGCCTGCTCGTTTTCTTTCTTGGATTTATTGCGGCTGAGAAAGGAGGAGGCACATAGGTGTGAGGCCGGCAGACAGGCAAACAGAAACAGCCAGAGCAAATTAAAAAGCACTTTTGGAAAAAGAGCGTCGGCCAGGGTGATCGGGGTTCAAATTCCCACACAGCCAACAGAGATGGTCACAGACCATCTCTCCACCTGGCTGAGTTATTCTGAGAATGAAGTGGAGAGGGGAGAGAAAAGCACACACCCTTCCCTGAACATCTGGGGAGGAAAAAGCAGAATAGAAATATAATAAATGCATGTGGAAGAGGAGATAAAATAAACTTTTGGTGGAAAAGAGAAAGTGGGTGCAATTTGAAACTGGGGTTTTGATCTCGGAATGTTATTTCAAAATCTGGCTTCAGAACCCGGTACTTTTCCCAGGGGAAATGCTGCAGTAATTTAATTAAAACAAAACAAAACCCTTGCTCTTACTCTGCTATTATTTTATTTTACTACTTATTTTGTTTTGTATGTTTTACATAACATTTGAATACATGCTTTTATCAATATCTAATTGTTTGAATTTAATTCTAAACTGTTTTATGATTTTTTTTTTACAACAACAGTGTGTACAGATGTTTTAATCACAAATAAAGCTGGGTATAAAAGTAGACAATGTGCTCTTAGAACTAAGTCAAATTTGTTCCTCAGAATGTCACCCCTATTGCATGTCAATTGTCAGATGTTGGCATAAATATTAGTTTGCAAGTAGTCAGAGGTAGCAGATAAATGTTACCAGCTATTGTATGTTGGCCCTGGTGAATTCCTAGAGGTCATATGTACAGTTTCAGAGTAGAAAAGTTGATTCAGAGCATGAATGTGATTTAAGAACGTGCAAACGAATGTAGCATCCATGTCCACACTAAATCATCCTTTCCTCTTTGCAATTGCAGTCCTGCATAAATGTAGCCAATACAAACTATCAGAAATTTATAAAAGTGTTTGGAGGACAATGTTGAGAATTATGTAGATATATCTTTCAGCTCTGAAGGATGGGCAGCTATATAAATGCTGTAGAAAAGAAGCTCTAACATGTAAGCATTCCTTTGCAGTGAACTTTGGATGCAACGGTGATGACAAATTTTGTTCAAAAATAAAATTGTCCAGACAATAATCTCAGAGTTTTAGTGGCAGAGAAATTCTTTGAAGTTAGTACCAACTTCCAGGCTCAATGTCAGTGATTTATTTCGGTGTCTAAGCTAATCTCTTGTTTTTCCATCCATATCTCCTGGGCATCTGCCAACTGCCTTCTCCATCAAGCTTGCTAGCGAAAGATGAAAACATTAAACTGGTGGGTGGAACATGTGGCCTTTCAGATGTGGATGAAATATAAATAACAGTAGCATCGGCCAATATGAAAAGAATGCTGGGAAATGTAGTTCAGCAACATTCGGAGTGTCATGGATACACCCATTTTTGAACATAACATAACTGAATGATTGGAAAAATATGTGTGGGTTATGCCCCTTAGAGATACTATTGATGAAATTCCACTTTGCCATGATTGAGATAAAGTAATCCCGACTCCCAATAGCTCAGAAACTCTTTCAGGACAGAAACAAAACAAAAACAAATCACTCTTATCTTTCAACCAGTACCCTCAAGCCAAAATCACACAATTTTCTCTTTTCTCCTCAGCAATAACCAGTCATTTAAAAGCAGTATATTTTACTTTGGTAGGTAAAGTTAACCTTAATATATCGGTTTGGGCAGCCTACCACTTTTGGCTTCCGAATTAATTGGCATCCATATCTTCATCAATTGTTTTCAAAAAGTTAATTGCTCCAAATGGAAACATTTTTTTTAATGAGATTTTTTACATATTTTCGATACCCACTTTGTACTCAAGATGCACCTGGTTTAGCCTTTTTAAATATGTAAGACGCCTGAACTGCTAGGTCCACTTTTGTTGATAGATGTAACAGAGACAGTCTTTAGAAGTTCGTTATAACGTGCCTTTTGAGGAATACATGAGAAATCATTATTAGTGTCTTTTTCTGCATTCAATGTTCATGATGTACAGAGAAAAAAGGTATGCTATTCCAAGAAATCAAGAATATACAGCAGATTGTTTCCAGTGAGACATTGTTTTTCTTACCCATGGAGGCTTGTTTGGTCAACCTTTTTTTTTTATGAAGCTCACATCCATAATTAGTTATTTCTTCCAATTAGGTAAAATGAGAAAATGCTTCAGGTCAGAAGAACATTGACCCTAGCAGACTCTAAGTAAGGAGTGAATATCCAGTTTTGGAACTTAAACATTTGGTATAGGAGGGAACCAGTTGAAACAGAATATTTTTTCTGCTCTGCTTTTTTTGTTTTTAATTCCCCCCCCCCAAGGAATAGTTTGTGAAAAGTAGCATTTCATAATTTGAAAAGGTAGAGATCATTCTCTACCTTTCTCATCACAATCCATGGATTACACCTGTTTTCTCCTTTCCTCAGTTGATACCTTTATAGATGTGTTGAACTAAAATTAGTAGAAGTTGCAACTAATATCCATATTGACTGAGGAATTTTGGGAACTGTACCCCACATGTGCATGGAGGAAAACAGGTTGGAGAACACTACTTGAGATGCTTAACTTAAACCTAAATATACTCTTCAAATCAGAAAGTTTAATATTATGGTAGCAAAGCTACAAATAAAGAGTATAGAATTCTCTGATTACCTCTTAAACTGGGCTTGCTTCCTGTATTTAAGCATAATTAAGGCTATCTGGACATAGAACTTACTTTCTTCAATTCTTTGTGACATGTAGCCCATGCAATTATTTCTCTGGAGTTCAGCAACCCGTGAGCAAAAGTGAGGTAGGGGCAGGAGGACAAATGGCAATGTGATAAAACTGCAGGAATGAAGCCAAAGGAAGAATATGCCAACTGTTATTCAGATATAAATATTGTTCTTACTGATTGATTTCAATTTCTATAGTTGTCCCTCTCCCATACGTGACTCTTGGTGGCTCACAAGTCAAAATAACAAACAAACAAACAAAAAAACCCTCCAACCCCTGTATAAATAAAC